TTAAGATTTGAATTGCAGTTGCATAATGAAGTATCTTGCTGAATAAGGACTGTGATAAGGTCTGCTGTTCCAAGTCTCGCCGTCTTAAGTAAACATGTAATTGTTATAGTGTGTGGAATGCCAAATGTGCTGCAAACAGAAACTTGATTATATCTATGTCTGAGGGCATAGAAGAAAGCATCATGTTGCTGGAGCTGACGTGTTTCTCCTTCCTAGGCTCCTATCCAGCAATTTGCGGACAAACTTAGTGGCTACTTTGTTCCTTCTATTGTGGCTGTCTCTGTGGTTACCCTTTTTGCCTGGATTATAATTGGATTTGTGGATTTTGAAATAGTAGAAAAATACTTTCTGGTAAGTAAGTCTCCTTAAACACCTTCAGAAATACTGAAAATAATTAGGCTACAGGTCTATTAGAGTGCAATAGCTCCCGTTCTGGATTATCCCTGCAGGCAGTTGCTGACTGTAGATACTACATTATTATCATTGTTGTTATATTTCTCATATGATATATTTTTTTACACTGTATCACCTCTACATTTATACTTCAAGAGAATCTGCAGTAATTAACCAACTCCTGAGAGTTAGTGTTAAAAAAAAAAAAAGTTAATTAAAACCAAAGGTAAATACTAGACATCAAAATTTCCCAGTTTCCAGCCCTTCTCTGTGGGGGAAAAGTAGTCCCTTGTGTCACAAGGTCCAGTTCTGCATCTGCTTTTGTAGCACAGCTCTGTGGAAATTCAACTTTGAGATCAGTGAAATCCATCTTCATTACAGATGCCAGAGGAGGATCAGGATCCTAACTTGTACCTTAGGGTTGCTTAGGTCACGAGTTTCTTGGTTCATGACTGTTTCTGGTTAGAATTTATTAGTTTCCAGGAGAGAAATCTTCATATCCTCTTTCTCTGTTACTGCATCCATTGTTGATAGAGTAGCTCTTATTACATTACGGCGTAAAAGAGTTATCGTAGCACGTGGTACCTTGTTTAGGAAAACGTCCTGTAAATGGATTGCGAGTGTCTGCAGTCTAGAACAGAACGTGGTCGTTAGTTAATTAATCATTGATGTAGTCCTTAATCTTAGCTTTTGTATAATAATATTTCAGCTTGTGTATTTGGAGACACTAATTTAACATCAAAGGCAACGTGTAGTTAAACACGTCATTGCTATTGTTCCGTTTCTTCCGTTACTAACCCAAACTTCTGTCCCTAGGGCTACAACAAGAGCATTTCTGCAGCCGAAGTCATCATCCGCTTTGCTTTCCAAGCCTCCATCACGGTCCTGTGTATTGCCTGTCCCTGTTCCCTGGGGTTGGCCACCCCCACCGCTGTGATGGTCGGCACTGGAGTAGGAGCCCAGAACGGCATCCTGATCAAAGGGGGCGAGCCGCTGGAGATGGCCCACAAGGTGGGAACGGGGTGGTTGGGACGAGACTCCGCAGGCTGGGGTGGGCGGCGTTCTGCCAGCTGCTGCCTGAGGCGGATGTGTCAGCACCTCGGGTTCATTTGCGTGGCTTTCTGAGGCAGGTGGGCATCAAAGCTTTGTTGAGTGGAGTCTTCCTGTCCCGCTGCAGGTCAAGGTGGTTGTGTTTGACAAAACGGGTACCATAACTCATGGGACTCCGGAAGTGATGCAGGTGAAGTTTCTGGTGGAGAGTAACCAACTACCACGAAATAAAATGCTGGCGATAGTGGGCACCGCCGAGAGTAACAGCGAGCATCCTCTTGGGGTAGCGATAACAAAGTACTGCAAAAAGGTGAGTGAGCGATGCAGGAAAAGAGTAGTTTGTGTTATGGAAGAACCTCTCTTGCAGTGCTTCGTGTGTCTGAGTAGTCTTGTGTTCTCTAGAAAACAATGAATGTATTTATTCAGTTGGGAAAGCTGAAAAGTGTGGAGCCACACAAATCACTTAATACCACGTTAGGTGTGCTGGATACTCAGTTTGAGTATCCAGTGATTGAATATTTCTCTGCTCCTGTTACAGTTAGTCTGGCTGCACTTTATTCTGTGGGGTTTGTAAATATGGCATACTCTTATATATTTAAAAACTTTCTCAGTTTACATCTTTTTTTCTTTAGGAATTGGACTCGGAAACCCTTGGGACATGTACAGATTTTCAGGTAGTTCCAGGCTGCGGCATTAGCTGTAAAGTCACCAACATTGAAGCGTTGCTCTACAGGAAAAACAAAATGGTTGAAGAAAACAATATTAAAAACGTGACGCTTGTGAAAATTGAAGAAAATAGAGACGAATCGGTGCAGCCTGCTTTGATTATTGATGCTGAGCTACCAAGTAAGCTGACTCTGGTTTATAGAATAAAATGGGATATTTTTGCTTTTGTGTCTTTAGGCTTCTTAAGGAGGAGGTCACACTTTTTTTCTGCCCTGGAGGACTGGGCTTGCATCAAGGCACACATGAAGTAGTTGGTCGTTATTTCAAAACACATCACTGAGGACACTTTGATTAAATACGGTTTGATGTTGTGTGTTGAATATGGGGCTGCAATATCGTGTAGGAATTGTCTTCCAGTGGTCTCTGTTTTTACTTTGCTTCGTCCCAAGTTCCCGTTTGCTAGCCAAAGTTACGTCTATTTGGACAACTGCCTGGCTTTCAATCGAGAACAGCTCCCTGCGTGATCTCTCAACTATATTGGCCTGTTATGTGTAAATTAGAAGCACTGAGAAAGGGACTTGGTCCTTTACTGTCCTATGACCTGTGGTTCCTGGTCCACTGATGTTGTAACTACCCATTCCTGAAGAACTGTTAGTGTCTGTCTTGTCAAGAATAGATGAAAAGATTGGGAAGGAAAGTATTGAGAGAGGCTTTCTTTCCGTTTGGGTTCTCTGTAATGGTATTTCAGCGCATATTGGGAGAAACTGGACAAAACTAGCTGGAGGGAAGCTTCCTGGTTATCCCTGTGATGGTAGGATTGTATCTTCTTCCTTCAGCTACTGTGATGTCTCAGAAATACTCTGTTCTCATTGGGAACCGGGAATGGATGAACAGAAATGGCCTCGTTGTTAAAAGTGAAGTTGATAAAGCCATGACGGAACACGAGCGGAGAGGTCGCACAGCAGTTCTAGCAGCTGTTGATGGTAAGTTCAGTGCTGTCTTTTCCTACTCAAAAGTTGTGTTGTTGCTCTTTAAATAGAAAGTAATGTCGTAGCAGTTATACCTGAGGCAAAATAACGGGATGAAAAGAGATCCTTAGCTAGTTTTATGACACTTCCGTATGAGAAGGACCTCTTCTTGCCTGTTCTGGTTGGCAGGGGAGTTGGATGCAATGCAAAGACTTCAAAGACAGTGAAGGGGAGGAAAGGAGAGGAAAAAAAAAAAAGGAAATTTTTTTATTGTTAACCAGTCCATTCTCTGTATAGTCTTAAACATTGCTGCCCTTGTATCTGTCCTCCTCCTGCTTTACTCTCAATGTTACTGTTTGTGGAATTGGTCTTACTGGGGGAAAAAAAGTTAGGGTTTTTTTTTCCCTGAAGCAATAAAGAACTTTATTACAAACACCTTCTTTCTGTTGTTTTAGGAGTGCTTTGTGGCTTGATAGCTATTGCCGATACCGTGAAACCAGAAGCTGAGCTGGCAGTCCACACTTTGAAGAGTATGGGGTTAGAGGTGGTCCTCATGACCGGTGACAACAGCAAAACGGCAAGATCCATCGCCTCTCAGGTGAGCCGCTACACATGGGGTTGGGTTTGCAGCTTGCTCCGAGCCACTTAGAGGTAGCGTGTTGTCATGGTGGTGTTGCTTGAGGCTGGCACAGAACTGGTCTATGTCGTATGACCAGGTCACCTGCCACGTGAAGAAAGGCTGAGAAACCTTGGCTTTGCTCAGCCTTGAAGAGAAGGCTCAGGGGAGACCTCTTTACCACGTACCAGTACCTAAAGGGTGGCTACCAGGAAGATGGAGACTCGCTTTTTATGAGGAGTCACATGGAAAAGACCAGGGGTAAAGGGGACAAGTTACTTCTGGGGAGATTCAGAATGGACTCAAGAAGAAACTTTTTCTTCATGAGGACAATTAGACCTTGGAGTAATCTCCCAGGGGATGTGGGAATGGACTCGAGAAGAAACTTTTTCTCCATGAGGACAACTAGACCTTGGAGTAATCTCCCAGGGGATGTGGTGGATTCCCTTACATTGGGCAGTTTTAAGACTCAACTTGACAGGGTGCTGGGCCGTATCCTTTAAACTGCATTTTTACCTTGAAAGGTTGGACTAGATGGTCCTTGAGGTCCCTTCCAACCTGGTATTCTATGGTCTGTTGTGAAGAAATGGTAATTTTTTTTAAAACAAATTCAAAATAAGGGGGAACAAAAGAAGCCTTTTTGAATGGAAGCAGCATCAGCTTTGACTTCAGAGCTGTTTCCATATCAGGTGGGTTTGGTCTTTAGCTCATGGATGACACCATGGGTTTCAGCCTTCCTTGTCACGTTGTTTAAGGCCATAGCTGTGACAGCTAGTAGGAACGCTGCAGGACACTTTCTCTCTCTCTTTAGGTTGGCATCACCAAAGTGTTCGCAGAGGTTCTTCCCTCCCACAAAGTAGCCAAAGTGAAACAGTTACAAGATGAAGGGAAACGGGTGGCCATGGTTGGAGATGGTATCAATGACTCCCCAGCCCTCGCTATGGCCAATGTGGGAATTGCTATTGGCACGGGCACCGATGTAGCCATCGAGGCAGCTGATGTGGTTCTCATCAGGGTAAGGAATCAGAGTGCTTCATTCAAACGAGATGGTAAGAGGGGTTAGAAGGCCTAGGATGTCTTGAGTGATTGACACCACTGCGGAGGTGTACCACCTTCATAAGCCAGGAGAACTGGAGCAGAGATTGTCTTCATCGTGCTTGTTTGGTGTAGTGGAAATTACCCTCTGGAAGAAACTTCCCATTTTCTGGGTACCACAAATGTTGGGGTAATTAAAGCTTGAGAGTGGGCAAAGGAGGAAAACATGACCTGACCTTCGGCAAACCAAGGATATTTCAATCACACACCACGGTACCTCCAGGGTTACAGTCACTTCTTCCTGCGTGCTACCACCGCCTTGACAGAAATCCTGTCGGTGTCTGGAGCTGTGCTGTGTGCTGCTGTGCATGTTGTTTGGATTTCAGTGACATCTGGAATAGGGTGGGTGGATTGTGCGGGCTCTACACAGACAAACTAGAGCCGCCTACACAATACTTACTACCTATAGTAGGTTTCATCCAGCGTATGGTAGTTGGCTGTAAAATAAGAGTATGGTGACACTACGCGTATACTTTTCTTTCCCTCTCTTTGACTTCTCCCATAAACGTATTACCTTGCAGGATGACTTGATGGATGTGGTGGCAAGTATAGATTTATCGAGGAAAACTGTGAAGAGGATCCGCATCAACTTCGTCTTTGCTCTAATTTATAATCTCATTGGAGTCCCCATAGCTGCTGGTAGGTGACTGTTGCCCTGCACTACTAAGATTGTGCTTAGTGAGTAGATCACGGTAATTTACTGCAGCGTGTGGAAGAGCATCTATTTTCTCTCTTTTTGTCAGTAAGCACAGAGTTCTCTGCCTGGGGACAGTGCGGTGGTATATTTTTTTGAGCCGTCCTCCTCCCACGTTATGGCTATTATGCATATGCTCAGCACGTCAAAATAACCTTTGAGATCAAAGGTTGATCAAATGAGCCTGATCCTGTGAACAAGCAGTTCTGAATTTCGGTCTGCAGAGGTGACACGTCAGCTGTGTTCACCTGGAGGTTCCAGCTGAGAGAGAACACGAATATTTATGTATTGAATATTTGTCGTTTAACACCAAAGTCCTATTTATTAATGTATTGAAATACAGCGAAAAGACAGTCCATGTGACACTGTCTGTGTTAACGTATGAATAACGCTGCGTTCCTGCGCTGAACTTACTGCTGTTCTGCTTTTCTAGGTGTCTTCCTGCCCATTGGGTTGGTTTTGCAGCCCTGGATGGGATCTGCAGCAATGGCTGCCTCCTCTGTTTCTGTGGTGCTTTCTTCTTTGCTGTTAAAGATGTGAGTATGAACAACTTTGTGGCTTGTAATTTGGGTTTGAAGCTCGGGTCTTCCACTTCGAGTGGCAGAAAACAAGTGTGGGACTGTGACAGATTTCAAAGCTTTTTGAGGAACGGCTCGGGCAGGTCTGTGTTCAGCAGCAGTTGGGTTTTGTTTTTGCTTGAGGAGTCGGTTGGTCCAAAGCGCTTCAGACAGCAGCGTTAAAAATGTCATTTCTAACGTGAAGAGAAATGTCCCAATCGGAAGTGAGCTCAGAATGAAAAATTCCTTAGTGGCCTTTTTTGTCTATTTGTGAGAAACCTTGTCAGGCCGTGCTGGCTTCTCAGACGGCGCAGCTGTAACCCCCACACGGACGCTGAGGAGTGTTGCAGGAAGTCACAGGCTGCTGCGCTCGTCACTGCCTCCCCGTCCCTTGCTCCGCAGCCAGGAGCAGTCAGTGCTGGGTGGGGGTGGGATCTCGTGCGATATAACACGCGGGTTTCGGCAGGAGGGTGGAAGAGCTGGGAAGTGATCGCTACAGCGGGGCCGCTCAGATGGGTTCTGTAGGTGCTCGGCACCACCGAGTAGGTCAGCCCTGAGTGACGTGTGTCAGCTTTGCCTGATCTTCTGGCCAAAAAGCACGGAATTCCCTTCTGGTTGGAGCCTTGCAAAAACTTTCATCCCTGTATAATGGATCAAATGATAAATGTCTCTGGGTTGTGCGTGATCACAGCAGGTAGGCTGGTTGCTTTCCGTATTTTAGCGTATTTGACTTCAGCCTGAGATGTGTTGTCGCCTTTAGGTACCAGAAACCAAGTTCTGAGAAACTCGAGTTCCGGGCCCGTGGCCAAATGAGGCACAAGAGCCCATCGGAAATCAGCGTCCACATCGGAATTGATGAGAGGGGGACAGGCTCTCCCAAACTGAGCTTAATGGATCGCATCATCAATTACAGCCGAGCCTCTATAAACTCTCTCTTCTCGGACAAGCGTTCGGTGAACAGCATCGTTCTTACTGAACCAGATAAGCATTCGCTTTTGGTGGGAGATTTTGGAGAAGATGATGACACGGCGTTATGAGAGACTCGCCCTTCTCCTCCCACCCCCACTAGGCAACAACAAAAAAAAAAGCCGAAGCAAAATGAAAAACCAACCAAAACAGCTGTCTAGGGGTCTGTGCATGTACTGATCGTTTCTGGAGGTCTTCTCAGATGCGTTGCTTCTGTCATGTAGAAAGCTCGGTTTTGCAGTGACTTTCCAGGGTCTTTTTTTTTTTTTTTTTCTTTCAGGTTTACCAAAAAAAAAACCCCACCAACAAACAAATGGTGCAGGGGCTGTTAGTGCTGACACACAGGGCCCTGTTGCCATGCCGCCAAGCTTGCAGTATAGCGTGTTTTTTTGGCAAAGTGGTTAAGGAAACTAAGGAACCAGAAACTTATTTCCCAGCCTTATAACAGGCTACCTTATGCATAGTCAAGTTTAGTGCTGTGTTAAAAAACGATAAATTACTGCCTCTGCAAAATACTGAAGGTTCTGTGTTTGCAGATAGATGTGCCTTACTTCAAAACTTCCAGGACTTCTCTTGTTTCCGTAGCCTGCCTTCTACCAGAAATGGTTCCTCTCAAATGCCTTTTCTTTTTGCAGACGTCTGGTTCCGGCTTTTCACACTCCGGGCTTCAAATCCTCTCCCTGTCTGTGACCTGGATGGTTTTGGGTTTGCTGTCTGACACCATACCCACGTACATCCATGCCCCAGTACACTCCTACTAAGGTTGTCTGCTTGAAGGTTGAATGGGTTGGGAGGTTTGCTCATTCTCAGCCTCTCCTATGCCAAAAACTCCTGCAACATCTGGATACGATGTGAATGGGATGTGGTGTTGGCCAAAATGCTTGGCTTTAAGAAGGCAGCAACGTGGTTGGTGCTCACTCCAATATGTTCTAGCGCTCCTTAAATGAACCCGAACAGTCTGGATCGCTGTCACGCAGACTGCCTTTAAAGTCCTTACAGTTCAGTCTTGGGAGATACCCAACACCAGCAAAGAATTGATTGTGTGTTGGGTACTGCACCAACATCGGTCACTTGTAAAGAGGAGCGTCTGTATCCAGGAATGGTCCAGAATCCGCTCCACAGACTGATCCAAACCTCCTTTGCTGGGGATACTGAGGTACAAGCTTTGGGAATTAAGACAGTCTTAATTTGTTACTCAGCTGAAATACCAAAATGCAGGTTTTGGTCATTAAATCATGAATATTAAAAATATTCTCAGTGAGGAATAAAGGTGTTCATCACCCAGTAGCTAGCAACCTGTTTGTTACTTAATAAGCCTTGTTCTTGAAATCCGCTGCCGCGGCGGCTCATTGAAGCACTTGCTGCGTTGGGTAACGTTGAGTTGCCGTGTGAGGTGCAGCCCGTGGTGTAAACACGTAGTTCAGTTTGGGCTTGTAGAGAAGAAACGCTCAGTTCAGAGTACGATGAAGAGGTGTCTGATTGTTCTAGTTTTTAACTTGAAGTCTGATGTCGGTGCATAGATGGTGTGTGTAGAACGTCACAAGTAAACAGCTTTTGCATTTTGTCTGAGAACTACCCGAAAACTCCCAGTGTGTGGGAGCGGAGCAGTTGTGCTGTGGAAGATGTGGTTAGTAAATCAGTGCACTTGTTACATTGCAGTGAGGAGAACAGCCTCATTTGTCGCTGCCGCTGCTTGAAGAAACAAAATATTTCTGTTGCAGGATTTAGATTCTTAATATCTCTACGTGAATATAGATTATTTTTTTAAATTAGGCAATAGCTGCGTGTGTACATTGTAGTGTGAAGAAACTCTGCGATCTGTTACCGCCAAGCCATTCCATAAGAGGTTGTTCTCAGTTTTCAGCATCAAAGCTGTTTCTTACAAAGCAGAGAGTTACCTAAAAACTCCTTGATCTTAGTTTGATGGGTTTTTAGTGCTTCATGACCATGCAAACCATTTCCAAAGATTTCAGTTTCCTTGTTTATCCGCCCTTGTTCTGTTCTTCACAAGCTTCTGCAGGTGAAGGGACGTATTCCACCTATTTTTACCTGGATTGTGCTGATGGAGGGGGTCTTAACCATGCAGTGAGGACACAAGGCAGATCCTAGCACGCTTTCAGATGGTCGTTTCGCTCCTGTAGGTGCTGGTTATGGTATATATGGCGTGTAAATGGCAGACATCATGCTCTTACTGCAGGAAATAGAGTAGTAATTTAAGGTTAAAATCCTGGTTGGCATGAAGAATTCGTTAAATTATTTCCAAATATATTTTTAGAGCACTTTGGCTTTGACCTCTTGTTGTCCAAATTGTATGTAGGGTGAACGTTTATGGTGGAATGCTGGCTTTGTCACCAACTTTCTCCCGATACAGGTGGTGTTCTAGGCTTTTCCATGATCGGTGAAACCCAGCGTTTGATGCAGTTACTGAGAAATAAGGCTAATTTTCAAAACCAGGATACTTAATGAGGTGCAGAGGTGATTATTGGGGAATAAGGAAGAGTAAAATGCTGGCTGAGAGGGAGTGGGACAGCAGCTCCTGAGTACAGTCAGAGGATCCACCTCTAGAGAGAGCAAATAACTAAGCTAAAGACCAGCGTTAGCCCAGGAATGAGGGGGTATAAGGTGATAAATCCAGGCTGGAATTGAGAGGAAGCTTTTCGACTGTAACAGCTGTCAGGTTCCGAGTCAGCTTCTGTCAGAGCCAGCGCGCGTGGGAAGCAAATTGCTCTCGTGCTTCAGAGGGGGGCTCGTACGAAGCGACGCCAGCAAAAGCAGCGGCCAGGACTTGCTGACCCAGGAAGCCGCTTTCAGTCCAGTTCTCTTTGGGAAAATCCACCTGGACTTGTCTTTTGAGCTTGAAGTTACACAGTGTGCTAGAGGGGTGTATAGCTGATGGAGAAATTCAGAGTCCAGAGCTTTGCAAATAGGTTGTCTGTCCAACCACCCCCCCCCCAAAGGTGTGATACAGACTTACAGAATGTTTATCATGTGATCAAAATATTCTATAAGGTGCTTTATGTTGAAAAACCAAAAGATTTTTCAGTTTGAATGTACAGTGCAAGTGAAATGTGGAAGCTAAATGTGTTCCCCAGTGTAAATGTTTTAATATGTAAATATCTTGTTCCTGTTGGAGACAGTTTGGATTCAGAAATTTAAAATATCACTTGGAAACACAGAGTTACAAACAAAATTGTATCAGTAGTTTGTCTATTTTATTGTTTTCTGTAACTAGCTATTTATAAAACCTGTGCTCTATTTAAAAAACAACGTACATGCGCTCCAGGCTTTAAAAATTGCTCTTTGAATCTTACCAATAAACTTTTTAAAATAGTAGACACCTGAAATTTTATACGAAAAAGAATGTGAAGCTGGCAAACCACGCTGGAAACAAGCAAGCCTTTTTCTTTATTAAAAACTAGGTTTATTTTTGTGCGTAGAACTTCCAACGAAATATTTTAAACTCGAGGGGTTGTTTGGTTGTGTGTGTTTTTGGTTTTTTTTTTTTTTAAATTCAATGTTGGTATGAGGAATGGAGACCTGAATGCTGTGGTGGAATGTTAATTTAGTGCTGTTACAGTTCTTTCCATCTAGAAACGCGCAGTCTCACAGTTCCTGTTCTTCTAAGCGTGTGCCTCCATCGTTATCATGGCCGCTACAAGCTGTGTAATAAAAATGTACCATCCAGAGCCTGTTTTAAATCATGTTCTGGGACCTCCTTTAAATATTTCTTTGCTGACTGAACAGCTGCTCCTGCCAACTGTGCCGCCTCTCTCCCCAGGGCGCCTCGGGCCAGGAAGGCATTGGGTGGCCCTGCGGGAGGCTGCGCAGGATCGAGGCTCCGGGAGCAGCTCTGCCCATCGCCTGCGCTTCAGCCTCGCCCAGTAAGAGCGCTCTGGGGCAGGGGGAAGGTGAAGCAGTGTTGCTTTTTGCTTGCTCAGCAAAAGGCTGAGGATCAGGGTTTCTGACATCCGTTTCCAGCTCCGCTAAACCACGTGGCTGCGAGTAAAACGCTCAGCCTACCTGAAACTGGGGCTGGCGACAAGCGGTGGTAGTGAAAGCTGGGCCGTGGTGGAGTAATGGCCATGTAAAGAGCATCGCTGTGGAGGCGCTGAGGCTGGAAGAGGCTGCTGGAGGTCACGTAGTCGAAATCTGCTAGAGCTGGTTGCCCGGGACTGAGATTTTTTAGTATCTCCACAACCTCTTCGGGCAGCCTGTTCCAGTGCTCAGTCAGCCTCACAGTTAAAAAAAAGTGTTTTCTTAGTTAGGGTTACATTTTCTTGTGTTTCCCTTTGTGCCCGTTGCCTCTTGTTCTTGCCCTGGGCGCTAGGGAGAAAAGAGTGGCTGAAGTGCAGCCGTTTATGCCGTCCCTCCGAGTCCCAGAGAAAAGTGCCACGCGTGAAGCAGTGGGGAAAATTCCGTGTGAGTGCTCCTGTGTTCCTCTCAGGCCATCCTTAAAATAAGCCTTTGGGTCACAATCTAGCACAAGCTCCTGCCAAAGCCTAGATACTATCCTGAGCGGTAAGGAGGAGAAGATTCCCTTCTCGGCTCCCCCACTGGCCACGTTAGAAGAGGTCCTGGCAGCTGGTTGGGGTCTCTGACTGCCAGCACCCCTCCGGGGGTCAGGACAGAGAAAAGGTGTGAAGCCTGAGCAGCTTTGAGCTTTTTTTCTTATTTTCATTTTAAAAAACCCCCAAACAACACAACCAGACGCACGCGTTCCCTGTGTTTCCAGGCTGCCTCTCCCCCGTGCCTTAGGCCTGTTCCCAGGTAGATTTGCCATACCGGCTTTTGGAATTAAATGGTGCTGGGTTTATTGTACGGCCAGCAGAAGAGTTCCTTTTTGGCTTTTCTGGAGCTCAGGCTCTGCTTTCTCCCTGGGACCTCAGCCCATCTCTGCCTAGGGCCGAGTCGGTCTCCCTTGGAGACGGTGCAGAGGGTTTTAGTGTGAAGCTGCATGAGGAAGAACCTCCCCTTGCATCTCCTCCATCGGTGTCCGAGATGACTGGCTGCTTGGCTGGAGCTGGATGGGCAGATCCTGCCACGCCGGGAGAGGGAGTCCAGGAGACCACGCTGCGGGGGAGCGTGAATGT